ATAAATCGATCGATCAGTTTGATCATCATCCATGATGCATTGGGCTGGACATATGTACTGATATATGTATATATATCCACGCCCAACAACAGGGAAACGAGAGCAAAACAGAGAGCAGCGGCGGGGACAGGCCAGCGGCTCTTTTAAACAACAAGACCGAAAGAAACCCGCAACAGCACTCAACAAGCTACCAGCGACTGGACGATGGAGCAGCACGTGCCGCGTCAGCATCACCATCATCATCATCAGTCGCAGTAATATCTCTGGTAGGGAGTGTGCAAAGTCTCCCATCTCCCATCTGCCATCTCTCCCCAAGATCCACGCATCCAAGCATCCCCACATCTCCCCAAATCTCTCCAACGTCCCTCCCACATGGAGCCAGCCCGGCCGCTGATTGGTCCCGGGCCACACGCGGTTGCCGGCCTGGTTGGCTAACCCATAGCTGCCTTCCAGGGTTCATACTCTGGATGCGTTGGGATGCATCCACCTTTGGGGAGTCGCGATCAATACCTACCATAGTACGGAGTTACTCCGTAAGTCGCATTCCATGGATCGAATCCCAGCCGGCGAATGAACAGCGTGTTAAGCGAGCCAATGAGCGGCTCGGTAGGCGGGCGCTGTTCCTTCTTCGCACGCTAATTGGCTCCAGGTGTTTCGACTGCAGAGAAAGCTAACTCACTCAACTCCATATACAGAATATGTATAGTTTATATGTATATGTCTAGATTTCCTTACGGAGCGCTGGGAACCTGGTTTGTCTGGCGATGTTGTGAAATTGGCGTCACCCGGGCCAAAGGCAGAGTTTCCTTTCATCGGAGAAGACGTGTGCGGGGGCATGAATAGAGAAAGGAACTGTAGTAAGTCCACCAATGGCCCCATATAGAGAAATATATATCTATATATACTACTGCCTCCAACGAACTGAATACCCCATATGTATACGTATACGTATACGTATTCCTATGCTGTTTTGTAATAAATAACAATGCCCATCCCGCTCACCCAAAGACCCTCTCCAGCATATGTCCCCCAAACCCCTCCGCCCCCGGTGAGCACGCCATCCTCACCACCCGGTTCCCAGAACTGTCACTCAGCCAATGCCCATTGTCGCTGAAGCGGGCACCGTCGTCGTCGTCGCTGTCGCGCCTCCTCCGCCCCCGCCGATCAACTACACACATCCCCCGCGTCCACTGGCCCGTCGTCTCCACGCGGATATCCTCTGGCGACCCTGCGGACGGCTGCCAGCCAACCCCGCCCCCTGATGATGGTGGTGGTGATGATGGTGATGATGGTAATGGCAATGGCAATGGCGGCGCCCTCGTAAGCACGTACCAGATGCACAGCGGGTCATGCAGGCTCAGCGCCGCGTGGTCGCCGGCGTGGCCTGGGTACAGCGCGTCGAGCGTGGCGAAGCTGTGCTCGAGGATGATGGTGAGCCACGCGGCCAGCGGCGAGGGCGTGGCTACTACTGCTGTTGCATTTGTTGTTGTTGTTGTTGTTGTCTGCGGCGCCGCGGTGGTTCTGGCGCGGAATTGGCCGCGGGTGAGTCTGTGTTGGTCTGTGAGGTCCAGCGGGAGGAGTGTGAGGGTTAGCTGCTTGCTGAGGTTGGTGGGGTAGGCGGGGAGCTGGTGGGTGGCTAGGCTCGGGTTGGTCGGGGGCATGGTGGACGCGGGGCGCGGGGAGGTGAGGGCGAAAACGCGTGCGGCGGCGGTGGGGTCGGCGTACATGTTGAATTCGGCAGTGGGGGTGACCTGTGTGTATAATTTATTTTGGCATTGCCGTTAGGGAGTCGTAGTGGGTGGGTGGCCGGAGGGGATGGATAGTGGCCGGCTGAGTCAGTGTGAGAGTGTGTGTGGACTTACATTTCCGGGAACATCGATTGCGCCCCCCATCACAACTACCTCCTTTGCACGGAGGAATGTCTCTGGGTCTTCTGCGGCGGCTAGGGCGAGATTTGTCAGTGGGCCGACGGCGACGATCGTGACGGTCTCTGGATCGTTCTCTTTAAGTATCCTGAGCATTTCCTGGTGGGCTGGCGTTTTGGAGCCGATAAATAAGGAGTGCTGAGAGTGCGCCAATGCAGCTTTTGCTGTAGCTGGAGCTGGAACCGTCCCGCTCTGCGCGGATGGGAAAAATAGGGACTCCCATGTTTGCTCTGGAGTCAGGTGAGGGTGCTATCGTTTTTTTTTTTAGTTTTGGATTTTATACTCGACTCATTAGATACGGGCTCCCCCTTATGCAGAGTATTAGGTGGAAAAGAAAGAAAATAGTTTTTCCTTAGGCAGACAGGGTCCCATACACTGAAATGAATATCCCCAAGCCCATCACGTCCATCTACCAATCCAACAAACGTACACATCCGTTAGTTAGCCAAGGTGGCCCATAAGACCATTTGACCTACGAAGGCAGGAGGCAAAGTCTCACGAAAATAATCGGCCATCATCATCTCGTCCTGCAGGGGGCGGTTAGCCCCGACAGCAACCACCGGCTTGCATGCCCGCAGGGCCTCGAAGCCTTCCGGCTTTCCATTCTCACGGCGCCAGCTGAGCTCCCGCTCGATGGCGTGGAACATAGAGACCAAATTCCGCAAACAACTGTGTGCGTCGTTGGAAGGGAATTATATCAGCATATTCATTCGATTTGATATAGTTTCATATATAAATGCCGCAACCGAGAAAGGCGAAATTCTTGTGACAAGGGGACGAATGAGAGAGAGAGAGAGAGAGAGAGAGAGAGAGAGAGAGAGTACGATACGAATAGGGTACTCTATCTCATTCGTCTGTTTAGCAGCAGGCAAATAGATAGACAACGCACCTACGGACATCGATATTGCCGAAGGTCAGAGATATCAGCTTGACCTCGATCTCCTCAGAATGAGACGATAGCGCCAGGAGCAGAGCAAGGACGTCGTCGATTCCCTGTTGTGCGTGGTTAGGACATCGGTTTTCTGTGGATACATTATATTTTCCTCAACAAAACAAATAAAATAAAATAAAGAAACATTAAAAGCAAAAGTAAAGAGAAAATGCCCTGATGATAAAAAGAGATTTTTATCAAGCTTTTGTCTTGCTTTGGTCATCTATGTAAGGTGTGCAATCGCATCTATGGGATGTATCCATGAATGTGAAGAGATCACCAAAACAAGCCACTTCCAACGGGGATACATAGCTGGGTAAGCCCCGAGGACCATGAATGAAAAGGATTGTATTTTTTTGAAAAAAAAAAAAAAAAAAAAAAAAAAGAAAGAAAAAAAAAAGTAATATCTGGCAGTGGAGGGTTCCAGTCTCACAGGATCGGTGTCAATTATCACTCTGCTCGCTGGCATGTTAATAACAGCATATCGATACAATCCC